GTGGAGAAGTTATGGCTGAAGACGGAGAAGCATCCCGCTCCTTATAAGATCGGCTGGATTCGCAAGGGTAATGACGTACAGGTTGATGAAGTGTGTCGGGTATCCTTTTCCATTGCCCGAACTTATGTGGATGAGGCATTGTGTGATGTAGTAGAGATGGATGCATGTCATATGTTGTTAGGCAGACCTTGGCAGTTTGATGTTGATGCCACGCATAAGGGGAAAGATAACGTTTACATCTTCAAGAAGGATGGTCGCCGAATTGTGCTCAAGCCTCTAACCGAGAAGGGGCCTGTCAAAACCAATGTGGCCGAAAAGAAGAATTTCTTGGTCGTTAACAATGAAGACTTTATGAAAGATGTGAACCAGTGTGATGAGATTTATGCCCTTGTAGTTTCGGGAAAAGAGGAGTCTATCACTGCCGAAATTCCACCTGAAGTACAGACCCTCTTATAGCAGTTTGATGCAGTTATGCCTGATGATCTTCCTTCTGAATTACCCATGCTTAGGGACGTTCAACATCAGATCAACTTTATCCCTGGATCTCGACTACCAAATTTGCCACACTATAGGATGAGTCCAAAGGAAGGAGAGATTTTGCAGAAGCAGGTCGATGATCTCATCCAGAAGGGCCTTATACGACCTAGCATGAGTCCGTGTGCAGTGCCAGCACTACTAGTCCCAAAGAAGAATGGAGAGTGGCGTATGTGTGTGTGTGGACAGTAGGGCTATCAACAAGATTACAGTGAAGTATAGATTTCCTATTACACGCTTGGAAGACATGCTAGATATGTTATCTGGTTCAAAAGTGTTCTCCAAGATAGATCTCAAGAGCGGCTATCATCAGATTCGGATTAGGGAAGGAGATGAGTGGAAGACTGCTTTCAAGACAAAAGAAGGCCTGTACGAGTGGTTAGTCATGCCTTTTGGTCTTTCTAATGCCCCTAGCACTTTCATGCGATTGATGAATCTGGTATTAAAACCCTTTATCGGCAAGTTCGTCGTAGTTTACTTTAATGATATCCTGATTTATAGCCAGAGTGAGGCTGCACATCTGGACCACTTGAGGGAGGTACTAACAGTTTTACAGGAGAACAAGTTGTACATCAATCTGAAGAAGTGCAACTTCATGACCAGTAGCCTCGTGTTTCTAGGCTTTGTTGTTAGTGCAGAGGGTATTCATGTTGATGAAGAGAAGGTTCGTGCTATTAGAGATTGGCCTACCCCGAAGACTGTCAGCGAAGTTCGTAGTTTTTATGTCCTAGAAATATTCTATAGGAGATTTGTAAGAAATTTCAGCAGCATTGTAGCACCAATAATTGAATGCATGAAGAAACAGAAGTTCAATTGGGGGGAAGATGCAGATCGTTGCTTTGCACTGATCAAGGAGAAGTTGTTCACCGCACCTGTGCTTGCACTTCCAGATTTTCAAAAAGTCTTTGAAGTTGATTGTGATGCGTCCATCATAGGAATTGGTGATGTTTTATCTCAAGAAGGGCGTCCAGTTGCCTTTTACAATGAGAAACTCAGCGAAGCTCAGCAGAAGTGGACCACATATGAGCTGGAGTTATATGCTATAGTTCAGTCTTTGAAGCATTGGGAGCACTATTTGATCTCGAGAGAGTTTTTGCTTCACACTGATCATCAGGCTTTGAAGACCCTTAATAGTCAGACTACCATCAACCGTATGCATGCTCGTTGGATTGCATATCTGCAGCGTTTCACCTTTGTTTTGAAGCATAAATCCGGGCAACAGAATAAGGTTGCAGATGCACTCAGTAGGAGAGCTAGATTGTTGGTAACTTTGAAGGCTGAAGTGATTGAGTTTGAGTACCTTAATGAGCTGTTTGCAGAGGATGAAGATTTTAAGAAGATTTAGGACGACTGTCTTCAAAATAAATCAGTCAAAGGCTTACATATTCAGGATGGTTATCTATTTCATGGCGATCAATTGTGCATACCCCAGAGTTCACTAAGAGAGCAGATAATTCGAGACCTTCATGCTGGCGGACTAGGAGGACATTTGGGACGTGATAAAACAATTACAGCCATTGAAGAACGATATTACTGGCCTCAGTTAAAGAAGGGAGCAGAAAAATATGTGCGGCGTTGTCCAGTTTGTCAAGTTGCTAAGGGACAGTCTCAGAATACGGGATTGTATACACCTTTACCTGTTACTGATGCACCATGACATGATATCTCTATGGACTTTGTGTTGGGACTGCCTCGAACCCAACGAGGCATGGATTCTATTTTTGTTGTGGTTGACAGGTTTTCAAAGATGGCGCACTTTATTCCGTGCAAGAAGACTGCAGATGCGAGCAATATTGCCAATCTTTTCTTTCGGGAGATAGTTCGCCTTCATGGAGTGCCAAAGTCCATTACATCCGATCGAGATTCTAAGTTCTTATCTCACTTTTGGAGAACTTTGTGGCAGCGATTCAATACTTCTCTTAAGTTTAGTACTGCCTATCACCCTCATACAGATGGCCAAACTGAAGTGGTCAATCGTACACTCGGTAATCTTCTTAGATCCATCTCTGGAGATCGACCGAAACAGTGGGATCTTGCTTTGGCACATGCTAAGTTTGCTTATAACTGTATGGAGAGTCGAACTACAGGCAATGCACCTTTTGTGATTGTGTATGAAAGGCTTCCGAATCATTATCTCGACCTTGCTCCATTGCCTAAGCTTCCCGGACAGAGTGTTCCTGCGGATCATATGGTTGAAAAGATACGTGCTATCCAGCAGGAGGTGAAGGAAAAGATAGAGCAGTCAAATGCTAAATATAAAGCCGATGCTGATCAACACAGGAGGAAGAATGTGTTTGAAGAAGGAGACATGGTGATGGTGTTTCTGTGAAAAGAACGTTTTCCTGTGGCCACCTACAACAAGCTAAAGAATAAGAAGTATGGTCCATGCAAAATACTGAAGAAGATTAGCGACAACGCTTATGTGGTTGACCTTCCTACAGATTTGGGTATTTCTCCTAGTTTCAATGTTGCAGATTTGTTTGAGTATTACCCACCAGAAGAAACAGCTATTCATGTAAGTGTAAGCTCGGGGTCGAGCTCTTTTCAAGCAGGGGGGACTGATGTACAACACACAGCAGGCACGTTTATGTCAAAATGGGACAGTCACAAGCCCAAATGCGGGCCTGGTCGAAGAAAATAACTTGTTTCGAAGAAACGGCCGTAACTTTCAAACCGTACGTTGGAATTGGACCAATTATATATGAAAATCGACTATCTCGACGAGACGGAGCCATCCAAACCGAACCCCTTTGGGTTCGGTTTGCGTTTTTCGTTTCGCTAAATTCCTTACAGTTTGAGAGATATTTACGTTTTTGTCCGTTTTTTACTATTTTTAGTAATAATTTAGGAGTCTGTTTTGTTTAGGAAACAAATCCGGTTTGATCTCAGATTTGACCGGTGGACTTTCCTAATCATAAGGAGTCTTTTTAGGAGTTTTAATATTTTAGGAATTCTTTTACTATTTTTGGTAAAGTTTGAGTCCTTATAGGAATTAGAGTCCTTGTAGGGGTCTTATTTATTTTTCTATTTAAGAAGAGTCATGTAATCCCTAAAGAAAAATAACTTTTCATCAATAAAATTTCTCTTTTTAATATTTTCTTCGTGGATTCGAAGTTCTTCATGGATTCGAAGATCGTTCTTTGTGGATTCAGAGAACACCCTTGGTGGATTCCGAGGTTATCACTTCCGCGCTGCATCACTCAAGATGCTTTGTCATTGATATATAAATCTGAAAGGCACCCGAACCTGAGTTTTTCAGTTGATAATGAAGATGATTTGAAGTGCATGTTGGAGCATAATCGAAATACTGGTTGTACGAAGATTCACATGCAAGCTATTGTTAATATAGAGTATTAAACTTCTGAAAAAATTAGAAAGTTATTACTGAAATGTAAGTGATCAATGAACTCTTTTTAAAACTGGGCTTTGTGTGATGTAAACATTGTGATTTCAGGTCTTAATTCAAAGTTGAAAAACATAGTTGTCATCTCTAATGGTTAGATGTTAACCCTTCCTGTAAAATGTTAAGTTTCAACGATATATGTTAACTTTTACACGAACATGTTAACTTTCACGTGAACATGTTAAATTTTTTTCCATGAAGTTGTTAACTTTCCTCGTATTGTGTTAACTATGCATATACTACAACAAAATACAACATTACCGACGAAATAAAAACGTCAGCAAAAGTTTAAAACACATCGGGAAAAATCTTTCCCGACGTAAATGCAGCGTCGCTAACGCGTCATCAAAAATACGTCAAGGAAAATATTTGGCGATGCAAACACACTGCGTCGGTAAAAGTCAACACTTTTGGCGACGCTTCATGCGTCGAGAAAAATACATCTTTTAGTGACGCATAATATTTTGTGTCGACAAAAGTACGCAGAATTTTTTCATTTACAAAAGTGCGTCGACAAAACTTGTACTTTTCGCGACGCATACAGCGTCAGCAAAAGTCAATGCGTCGGTAAAAGTATAGCTTTTAGCAACGCAAAACTGTTCGTCGCTAAAAATTATACTTTTGGGGACGTAAGTTAGCGTCGGCAAAAGTATAGTTTTTAGCGACACAAAATGAAGTGTCGCTAAAAACTATTTCTTTGACGACACAAGATAACGTCGCTAAAAGATATTACTCTTTGGTGACGCAATATAGCGTCGGAAAAAGTGTTACTTTTAGTGATGCAAATTAATCGGTTGCTAAAAGTTAAAAATTTAGCGTCGCAATTTAGTTTTGGCAAAAGTATAATTTTTGGCAACACATAATTTTACGTCGGTAAAAAGTATACATTTGTCGACTAATTTGCATCGCCAAAAGTAATATCTTTTCTGTCAACAACAAACCTACACAGAACCTGAACATCCACAAAAAAATTGCTCCCATTCATATCAACAAAGAAACCAAACATCAAATTATACTCCAAACAAGTTGCATATTATGATAAACAAAGAATTTTCTCTCATTGCAAAATAGTTACATTCATTTCCATTTCCAAGTCGACACTCAAAGGCCTGTTTAAATATTCCAATTCGCTTGTAATCCATGAAGGAAAAAAAGAAACACAATGGAAAGAAAGAAAAAGGTGAAAGAAAAAAAAGAAGGGAACAACTGTTTAAATATTCTAGTTTGCTTGTAAATTCATGACAAGTTGCTCTTTGCTTCCAAGATAATCAAATCCAAGTTCTTGCATAACAAGAATAAAGCAACATCAAAAATTTTTAAATTTATTTGCGAAAGGCTACACATTCTATAAAAAGTTTTGGGTGTACATAAATAATATTCATTAAACCAAAAACATACACATGACAAAAATAAATTTTGTACAGCTTTTGTGAATTGTGCATTTCTTCGTATTTAGAACTTCTAATTGCAAATCATAAATCATATATGGTTTGATCATATAATTTAGAATCCTATTGATTGTATTCTAGTTTTTTTGGCTAATGAATGTATTCTATTTAATATACATGATCACAATCTTCAGTCATGATTTCTAGAAAGTGTTAATATTGACCTTTTCTCCAAAATATCTAACAATATAGGAATCTTGTAATCCAACAAGCAAGTAAAAAAGAAATCAATTTCATGACTCACATCAGCTCTAAAGACCAGGAGAACCAGAACAACCTCCCAATGCCCTCGATGACAAGCTTGCATACCAGAAAACGAAACCAAAAAAAAACCAACCGAAGCCATTCAGTTACTCAAAATAACCAACGAACAATAAGAAACTAGCATATACACAAATCTGTCAATATGAATTCCTTGAATTTACGTCTGCCCCATTATCCAACAACAACATCACAATCTCAAACAAGAACCGACAGTCAACACAAAAGCTTAAACTGCTTAGTTTACCCTTTTTGAATAAGCAAGCCTCAATGTGTCCTTTTGATGCAGCAAAGTGAAGTGGTGAGTTGAGAGGAGCAAAACTGGATTAAGTAGCCAGACAACTTTTCTGTTCTAACAATAATTTTGCTTCTGCCAGGTCACCGTCTCTGGCCACAGATGCTAGCCTCTCTCCTGAAGCCGGGCAAAATACTGAATTCCCCATGGATTCAGGTGCCTCAGACTTTAGAGATGAAGACTTCTAAATTTTGTCTATGTGAAATGATTTGTAACTAAAATGTATAATAGTGTAATAGACTATACATCGAATGAAATGATCTATAAATGCCTGAGATCAATACAGAAGTTTTGCTAAAGACTTCGATTACTGATAGATCAATATAGAAGTTTTTTCCCTGAAAAGGGGGAGCAATAATTCTTCTTTCTGGAGATGTTGAGTGCTGAACATCTAATTTTGACAAGAAAGAGAAAGAGCCAACATGTGGACGAAAAGAGCCTTAATCACAAGTTTGGCTAAGGTTTGTAAATTCATTCATGACAAGAAAAGAGCCTTGATGTCATCAATGGTGATTGGTAATGAATCCATCACCCTGGCATCATTCTCATGCTAATTGATGTCCTTAATCACATTAATTTATCTGTTAGACGAAAAAAGATCCCTTCATAGGGACCACCTTGCTAGCAACAAAACATTAGGATGCTAACTCAAAACATATTTTAAAAAATATGACAAAGAGAACCCCAACGATATCAAATTTATAACTCACTAAAATCGTATGAACTTGAATTAAAACCTAATGAACCAAAGCAGGATACACTTCGTATGAACTTGAATTAAAACCAATGCACACAAAAAACGTACACGCACACACAAACATGCGCGCACATGTACGCAAAAAACGCATGCTCCCCACCCACCTACCCCTACACACGCAGGCACACCCAAGTGTTCACACATGTGCATGCACAATAATACATGAAGTCATATATGCATCATCCATTACTTAACATATGCGTACACACATGAATACATGAAGTCATATGCATCGTTCATCACTTGCATCAGATTAATGCAACAAACGATCCTATAACTGATCCTGGCTGGAATTTGATTTGATACCATGTTTGCTTTAGTCTCAATGTTATAGGGGGTTATTTGCAACTAGATAAGAATTAGCAGGATTTCAATAAATTCTGAAAAGACATTTCCAAGTACAATTAAATTCATTAGGAGTCGCTGTAGAGTATAGGTTTAGAAACATTGCACATTTGGAAGTTTAACTCTCAGAATCAACGAAAAAACTAAAGAAATGAAGACGAATTCCAACATATGAAAATAAATACTGCAACAAAACAATTGCCTCAACATGTGGATTCATTACCATCTAATTTGTTACGAAAAGAGAAAGCAAAAGATGAAAGCCTCAACATGAGGATTCATTACCATCTAATTTGTTACGAAAAGAGAAAGCAAAAGATGAAAGGCTCAACATGTGGACGTTACAACAATGTTCATTAACTGATTTAAATGAGTATCGAACTGACATAACATAATCAGATGAACAGTTGTATTATTAGCAAGAATTACATAGATAATTTAAAGGTTCTAAACTAGTAATGATTTAATTACTGGACACGACTGAACCATCCATTCCTCTATAGATTTTGATCAAACACAAGAACCTGACACCAGATACAGACAAACAAACCGATCTTAGCCATAAGACTCCTAACTTAATCAACAATGAGTTAGCATAAAAGTGGCCAGTGTGAAAATATTTAATATAAGACAGATTCTCAATGCATATTTGCTCACATGTATGCCAATAGCATATAATGGTAATGGCATACAAGCATTGACTCGATTGATCTAATGATTGGGGAGAAGAATATTTTTAAGTTGTCAGACAAGGTAAGGTGGCTCTATATCCTCACACAAAGGCACCAATACCTTTCTCTTTACGACCAATTAGGTGTATGTGTATATCCCCATGGATTACATTTAGAGGAACAAGACTAATTGCAGACCCATGAAGGTCAACGCTAAAAAAATCCTTCAAAATTTTGCCAGTTCCTAATAAGCCCCAACTCAACTCGTGAATCGAGAAAACACAATTTTTTTTAGGAGGGGTGATAATTTGGCAGTCCGAAACCAAACGAACATCTTAAGAACAAGAAAAAGGTGAAGATTTTGAGAGGGGTGATAATTTGGCAGTCCGAAACCAAACGAACATCTTAAGAACAAGAAAAAGGTGAAGATTTTGGAATAATGCCAGCAAAAATTTGAATGAACCAAACGAACATCTTAAGAACAAGAAAAAGGTGAAGATTTTGGAATAATGCCAGCAAAAATTTGAATGATCTTGAGAGGTAGAGGACTTACAAGTCAGGTGTCCGGCGAAAATGAGGAGGAGGAGAGGCGGTGAGATCCGATTTGGGAAGGAAGAACTAGGGTTTTTTTATAGGGATTCGGCGGCAAACTACAGGGTCGATGACGGCGGCGAACTTCAGGGCTCGATGGCTGCGGTGAACTCCGACGGAGGCGGCGAACTCCGACGGCAGCGGCGAGTTCAGAGAAGCGACGAAGAGAGAGAGAACAAGGTTTGCGCGGGGGGGGGCGAGCGGGAGGGGCGGTGGTATCTCTTTTTTCGCGAAAATAAACGGGGGAAGTTTCCCTTGTGTGTTTTAGGGTGTGTTTGGATTTCAATGGGGTTAAGGGAAGTTAAGGGGGTGTTTGTTTGCATGCAAGTGAAAGATGAAAGTGAGAAAGTTACTTTCATTTAACGATTTATATGTTTGTTTGCATGTAAGTGGTTATGAAAGTGAGATACAAGAAAGTTGCCACGTATGATTTAATGCAATTTTAACTTTCCCTAAAAAAATGGTGAAGTCACATGGAAGTGACAAAAAAAGTAACTAATTTAGTTAGACGATTTTAATTATACTTTCTAATTAATCTTATTTTGCCATGTCATCTTCACATTGCACTTTCAATAATAATTTAATTTTTCAAACAAACACTGTATTTCACTTGAGTGCTAACATGAGATGTAAAAGTCATTTGCAAAAAAAGTAACTTACATATTTTAAATTCACTTTCGAATTGCCAAACACCCCCTAAGGGAAACTAGCTGAGAGAATGAAAGGGAAGGGAAGAGAGTTCTCTTCCCCTTGGTTACACCTTAATTTAGGGGTAACAAATTTTATACTATTAGGGGGTGAACCAAGGGGAACTAGGGTGAATAACTTCACCTTCTAAATGTTCCCAAACAAGGTGAATGGTTCCCCTAACTTCCCTTCACCCTTATTCCCCTCAATCCAAACAAGCTCTTAGGGAAATTGATGGATTTTGTTGGAATAAAAGAATCCAAGCCTAATTACACTGCATGGAAATTGCATAACTTAGGGCCCGTTTGGATAATGGAAGTATTAGAAATAAGAAGTAGGTTATAGAAGTAAATTTCAAAGCTATGAAGTAGGAAGTAGTAGAAATAGCATTTTTTTGTTTGTTTCATATATTTTTAGAAGTAATGGAAGTAGAACTTCTTCCTCTTCATTTACTTTTTTTGTTTGGATAACATTTAAAAATATTATTAGGAAGTAATTTTATCAATGAAAAGTTGTTAGAAGTAACTAATAAAAGAAATATTAATAAAAAAAATTATTTATGTCATAATTAATATGCATTTCAACTACTTCCGAGCTACTTCTGAGTATTGAGGATTGGAAAAATATTTTAGAAGTAAGATGACACGTAGGCGCTACATAAACATTTAGGGAAGTATTGGTGTAGGCATTGAAAATTGCCTATAGGTCTCTACGAACGGTTCAATGTTAAAGAGCGACGATGAACGTCACTATCCGAGCCACAGGAGTC